AAAAACTGGAGAATTTTACAGTCAAGAACCTGCTCACTTTTTACATAATTACAAATTAACATACAGCAATTAGGTTTTACCCTCTTTTTTAAAAATTCTTTTTTCAACTTTTTTTTTTCAACTTTTTTTTTTTTAATAGGTTCAACATGAAAATGCAAAGCATTTTTATTTATTTATTTTTAAGAAACAAACCAAAAGCAGAGGTATATCAGGTTTTTATAATACACCTCCTCAACGTTCTGGGAATTACTCAAGTGCATTCCGTATTAGTACAAAATAAACACCAGGCTAAACTTTAACCATAGGCGAACTGAACTGGACGTAAGATTTTTATTTTATTTTGAGTCAGTGTTTAATATTGATAAAGGAAATAGTAAAATATTTTAGAGCATGGAAAGGCTGGATACCTATAGACAGCTTAAATACATACGAAGCTTATAGCTGTATGCAAAGCAGTGAATGTTATCCTCTTCCCCCCTCCCCCCAAGCAGTGGAAGCTGAATACATCGGGGCAAAGCATCAGTGTCAGTGAAACGCGCGTGGAAAGGAAGGGCACGGAGCCCTGGGCACGCCGGTGGGCAGGGAGCTAGCGTTACGCTTCCCGTCGCTGGAGAGCACGAGGTGTACGAGATTAAGCCAGTTCAGCCCGCCTATCTTTAAAACTTAGCTGCATCACTGGATCAAGAATCATTGATTGCTGCCCTTTCTGACAAATGAAGCAAGAGTTAGGAGCAGCAGGGGAGGGTTTTTATTTAAAAGAGTGCCTTAAATTATGTTAAATTCCCAAACCTGGCCAGCAGGCAGAATAATTTCCAGAGTTCTGGTTAACAAGGAATGTTTTGTGGGATTTTAGCAGATACTCCCTTGTGCCCCCTGCCCAGTCCTCCCTTGCCTCGTGCCACACAGATATCCTAGACAGCTTCCTTGGGATTTGGGACCTGATGAACCTCTTCTGACTCGGTGGCATTTGGAAGGACTGGATTTGGGTGTTTCAGCAACCGCTTCGAGATATCCTATTGCCTCAAGGAAGGTGCAAAGATCATCAGACTCTATGGATGCTCTTGCCTTTGAAAGGCAGTGCAAATCCGCACAAGCTAATGGCATTACTGTGCTTCTCAGCAGTGGTCAAACTTCGAGAGTGAAAAGAAGAGTCCACCCTCAGCAGTGGCGAGAGCTCCTGCCCCAGGGATGGCACCTGGGAGGTCTCCCAGCGGCCTGGATAGTAAATCACTTAGTGCACGGAAAGGGCCTCACTGCCCTTATTTGGTTGCAAACCCCCCACCTCCTTCGCCCTGGGTTTCTCCAAGGAAAAGGAGGTGGAGGGCGAACAACTGGCGGGGACCGCTTCCCTACCGGCAGCAGCACCTGCTGTGAGGAAGGTGATGGTGGCGCCGGCATGGGCTCTCCCACGGGATATACCTGAGCCATCAGGAGCCAGTTCCTCTGGTCCTGCCACTCACCCTGTCTGCAGTGGGACTGTAGTCAGGTTCACACCCACTTTGGTCTAAAAATCATACAAAAAGCTTGGCCCTTCCTCCCCCTCCCGGGGTAACGCCAAACCAAACCAGGAATACACCTACTTGCCGCTCGGATTTTGCTGGGGATGCAGAGGGGGGAGCAATGGCAAAGCTGATTGTCTCCATGTAGCCAAAATAAAAAGGGACAAGACCAGTTCCATTTAAAGTGCTTTATGGCATCAAACTGACATCAAGTTACATGTTGAGATGATCGCTTCGTTTAGAAGAAGCTAAGGCCAACCCCACACAACTCCATTGAGTCTCACACCATTTGCTACAGCTGCTCTCTGCTGCCAGGGTATTCTGGCACCCCCAGCTAATACCGACTGCTTCTGCACTTCATCTGAGCCCGCGCCCCCACTTCTGCAGCCACTGAAACCCCTTCTGTTGGGCAGCGATAAAGACCAGGCAAAGAAAAGCCCAAGGAAAGAAAGCCCAATTTTTCTCCTCAGTGAAACACTAGCACAAAAAGCTCCAAGAGCCCTTGCAGGGTCGTCTTCTCCCTCCAACAATGTGGGCTTCACACAGCCATTTCTGAACCTGCTCTGTGTCCCAGGAACCCAACACAAAACAGGGTGGTTTGGGTGCTCCAAACGGAATCACGCGACGGGCTCTGGGAACCAGATACAGCACCAGGCTGGGCTGAAGAAATAACATGCTTTCAACAACTGCAGGAAGGATGCCAGGCGTGGAACTGGAGCAAATGCCATTTTAAGGTCAGGAAGAGGAAAGGCTTTGGTGCTGTGAGGCTGGGGCCATAGCCTAGCAGACAACCCTGGGCAACCTGCAGGGATCAGAGTGGGAATCCGACTCTGGGAACCTATGCCAATCTTTTCCAAAGAGAACCTGAGAGGGGAAAAATTAAAGGATAAAGAGATAAAAACAAGCCCTTGCCTTCCTAAAGGTGAAAAGGAGGAGGAAGCAGTGTGGGAGGAAAGGCTTCATTCCAAAAAAGTGAATCATACAGTAACCTACACCCCCAGGGACAAAGGTCTGTCCACCAGAATTTAAGACACACACAGCTTTGACACGCGGTATTTCCCGTCAGCGTCCTTCTGACTCACGCCCGTGGTTTCTTTGACAAGGAACCATGGGGACCTCAGGACATGACTTAACATAAACTGCTTTTACTTAGGGCACTGAACGCGCTTTTTGATTTGCACAGGTCAGAAGAGACGAGTCAAGCCAGGCAGAGACTCAGCCCTGCTGCCCCGGATCACGCGTCTGCCTTGCGATGCCCTTCTCGGAGCCATGGGACACTCCCGAGTCGTGAATTCAAGATGTGCTGGGACTGGAGAAAAGACAGCGGGACGAAAAGCGAAGCTCATACTGGCAAAGGCTATCACAGACTGAGGGGAACTTTCAGAAATACCAGGGACCTGATCTCTGTTTACACAACAGTAAGTGAGCCACGCACTGCTTTGGTTTCCAAAAATTTCAGCTTGGCACACTCATTTTCGCAGATGTACAAACAGCAGGGCAGAAGTTATTTTGTGAAACTGGTGTTTTTCTTACGAAAAAGCTAATGCGACACCACCAGCACAGGCCTCCTCCAGCTCCTTTCAGGTTCGGGAGAGGAGCTGTCTGGACCTCCCTGGACAAGTGACCAGACCCTCACATCACTGCAAGATGCTCCATGTTTTGCTTTTTCCTTCGCCTCCATGAGGTATGAGAAAACCTAAACAAAGCATTTGAACAAGGAAACCAACTGATAGGAGGAGTCTGTCTGAAGTCACTGCTTCTTCCAGACTTTTTTTGGCCCAAAGATGCTCTGCCTTAAAGAAAGCTCTCAGTTGAAATCGTGTAACTCTGGGCATGGCATGGGCTGCTAAGCAGCACTGCCCAAACCCTGGTTTTGTAGGAACCAGGGAGATAAGAACATTTGGTTTACCAATCTCTTGGTAAGAAAACAAAAAAAAAACCCAAACAAACAAAAAAAGAAAAGCAAACCACCCCTCAAACCCCCAAACCAAAGCAAAATAAAAAGTAGAAAGAAATAAAAAAATAAAACCAAGTAAACTTCTTTTAAAAAAAGAACTCTTTCAAATAAACAGAAAGATAAATATTTTTTGCAAGCCCTGCTTGCAATTAAGAACAAGCACCAAATAATATTAAAAAAAGGCAAAATAAAAATAAATCTCACCCTTTTTCCTTTCTTCCTTTTTTTTCTTTTTCTTTTTTTTTTCTTTTTTGAGTCTTAATAGTTTAGAGAGCTTCAAAAGCAAGCAGGCGGATTAGGATTCCTGCACTGACCAAGACAGACCAGTCTAAGCATCCACCCTCACCATCAGCGCTGCTGATACTCATCAGCACCGAACTCTGCTGTGGGCTACTAGCTCGTGGGAAGCCAGAGAGCAAACTGAAACCAAACAATAGTGCAAGAAGAGAAATGTTGTGGGGTTTTTTAAAGAAAAACCGGTAGGAAAGGAAATGCACTCGACAGCTTCAAACTGCGAGCAAACTCGAGCTGTTTTGAAGCCGATAGTGTCTTGGAACCATTTACAAACCCGCTTGGGCAATCCCCCGGAGAGGTTTTGGAAGAACAATCATTTTGGAAAGAAGTTTGGCTCGCTGCATTTCTCTTCCCCCACCGAACACATCCTCGTGTTCAACAGCTGTACAAACACCTCACAGTCGCCACAGGGAGAGCCACCCTCGGGCCCTTCCCCTTCTGCTGATGGCCACGCGGGGACACACGGACACTTTCACTCTAGAGCCCACAGCGATGGAAACGGAGCTGCCACGCTGCACCTTTGGACCTGTCCCACAGTGGTTTTGCCCACGAGAAGGGATGATCTCCTGGCAATGGTTAACAAGCGCACGTTACGGTGCAGGGCAGGGATTAGGAGCTGCCTTTCTGGAGTTTGCTCTGCTCACAGCACTCAGTCCCCTGACCTGCGACGTGTCACTGAAGGGCTCTGAAACTGCTGTTGTCTCGCTGTGCCTTCGCAACGAGCAAGGGAAGCTGACAAAATCCAGAGAAGCAGAAGCCCAACGTTAACACAAAAAGCAGGGGATGAAAAATGCAAATAACAGAACAAAGGTCCCTAAAAGCAGATTTTCAGCCATCTCTCCAGTAAGTCATCAGGCTCGTAATGAAGGGATGTCAAATGCAACTGGAGAACTACATTCTGGCAAAAAAAATAATCTTTACTTAGGGGATGAAAAGGTGTGAGCTGGAGCTCAAAGAGATTGCATTGAAAAATGTTGCTTAGCGTTGTTCCCACTTGAACACTGTCTGTTCTGGCTCCCTGGGGTTGCCTTAAAAGCCTACTGAATGTCTTTTCTGCATCGTTTTAAATATACCCAAAGATGTTCTGCTTGATTCTGGAAACAGTTTGACATTTATATCCTCTGCCCCATGGAAATCTTTCAGAACTACTTTAATTTATTTTTTTTTTTTCCCCCTCTGAATTTTTGTTTTGAACGCTGTTACTGCTTCCCGGTGTAAGGTACTTTTCTGAAACCAAACAGGCCCTATTACATGAGCACAAAAGGGGCGTGCAAGGCAACGGCATTACACTCGGAGCAGTAAGGGCAAGATATTTAATATCTACACGCTCCCTGAAAGTCATCAGGTATCATCTATCCCCATGGGCCGAGCTAAGCTTGGCTGTACAGACTGCGAGCATATCCCAGTGGATACATAGATACATAGGTGTGTATATACAGTATATCTATATATGCCAGTGTGTACGCACCATTTGTAGAGTCCTAATCTTTCGCTAAATGCTTGGTTTTGGTTACGTCCCCCAGAAAAGGGGAATTTGAAGGCACAGACCCCTTAAGGCTATGTTCTCTCATCCTTTAGCAGTAAGAAGAGACAGCAAACATCTATCCCAATCCATTGAACCCAAGGTTTGCACAGAGAGACGGTACTATTTGCCGTGAAGTCAGCCTCTGCGGTGAGAATTCACGCAAAACCACAGGAGAGAGGCCCTTTCCCACCACTTAACAGACTTCATAACGTGTTTTATTTAAAACCTCCAGATGCTTGTCAGGTGCAGGCACCAGCAGCGTGCTGCGGAGCGGGCAGGAGATGTCCACTGTACCAGTGCCGAGAGTGACCAACGCAACCATCCATGCTCAGCAGAAGATCTCCTCACCCTCTGGAGGTGCTTCTGACGAGTGAGAATCTGCAGCACAAAAAAACCCCAGGTGGGAATCACTACGGGAATACAGCAGGCAGAGCAGGACTCCACGCGCACAGAAACCCCACGGTCTGCCCAATCCACTGGGCATCTTCAAAGATGTGCAGTTCCCTGATGAGCTGCCATGAAATGACATCTGGTAACCGCTGAGCTTTCCTGGGCACAGGCTGGGAAACACCAGCGAGTTAATAGGGATGAGCCGGCCATCCGAGGGCGTGTGATCAGATTTCATGGGGGTCAGAGGTTTGAGGTGCAGAACAGAGTCCTACGGGGATGCAAAACTACCAGAGGAAAAACTGCATGGCCTTTATTTCAGATCAAGAGACAAGACAGGCTGGCTCGAGGGGAAGGGAGAGGCCACCAGAAGGGTTGTGGGTGTCACTTCCGAACTACAACAGAGTTAAAGCAGACAGCAATGCCGCAGGGGCCAGAAGCATCCCAGCAGCAGCTCATGAAAGCACATACACTGAACCAGGACATTTTCCTCCTCAAAGCGGAGCAAGCTTGAAAAATAAAGGGAGAATCCAGCCAGTGGAGGCTGCTCAGGATGGGACGGGGAAGGGCAGGAGCAGGGAGCAGAGTGTTTCCCTTTGACAACCCCAGGGGCTGCAGGACAGGCAGAAAAGCCCACAGAAGGTCACTTCAACTCGTGAACCCCTCTCATCACAGCTGATCTGCTCCATCCCTGTGTTACCACCCACCTTCAAGGCTAGATTTCATGGCTTCCACACGTTCGCTGGCTGGAGGGAAAAGCCAGCTCACCAACCCTGAAAACACACCTATGACCTCCCCTGACACTCACCAGACTGTTGGGAGCGATGTCCCCTGCCCTTTTTCTTCTTTTCCTTCTTTTCCTTTGGTTTGGCTAAACTGAAGAGACGGGTAGGCATCTGGGGCTGTTCCTCAGCTGCCTTGTTAGTCTGGTTTGTTGTGCTAAGCAAATGGAAAGTGCTTTTCTCTTTGTGTGTCCTTGAAAGACTGTTCCTTTTGGGGGAGACAGACAGTTCTGCATCAAAGTGCCCTTGTTTAGGAACAGAAGGGCTCTTCTGCTTGGAGGAGTCATCGATGCTGGACTGGGAGGGGACTCTTCCAAGTTTCTCATGTAGATTCGAAACCTATAAAGGGAAAGAAAAGGGTTTCACTGGCGCATGAAAAAAAGCTAGCAGAGAATCTGGATAAGAAAGGTGTCCCCCAGACCACTCAGAGACGGAAGTAGTTCTTGTGAACATCCAGCCCATTTACCAGCTAAAAAGTGGTCCCCATCCAGGCAAAGCAATAAAAGAAGCAGCCTTCTCTGTTTAAGATGAAGAAGAGAGGCATAAAAGAGTAACGCTCCAGTATCTTTTGCTCCTACATGTACTATGTGATGTATCAACAAGCCAAGGGCAAATATTCTCTAAGATCTCAACACCAAGACTCACCCTGCGTTGTTCGTGCACACAGACTGTGGCAGAAGGCCAAGGAGAAGCGTGCCTCTCCAGGAGGGGAACGCCAGCACACAGCGCCGGAGCGGCATGTGTCAAAGGAAGCTTTCCCCAGCAAAAGATGAAAGCAAAAACATTCTTCCTGATTTTTTTTTTTTTTCCTAACGGCTGTCTCGGGATGTAATTGAGCCCGCACACTCAAAGGGAAGATCAAAACAACAGCTCAACAAAGCCTCACCGAACCCTCTATTAATAGCTCTGAAATGTCAGTAAGATACCTGCCTTGAAAAGGTGCTTCCTTCTCCTAATCCCCCAGGCCTCGCAGTTAGTTAACCTCTCAGCCTCTCCCACAGCATCCATGCCCCTTGCATGTCGACATGTGCTCGATGCCGGAACAGCTTCACCGTGTGCTTGGAAAACTTCTGGCCTGATCGGGAACCGGGGTGGGAGGGAGCAAGCCCTCCTCTGATGATTTGCTTTTCAGAGCTCATTGCTGAGCTCCGCAATTAGTCCATTCAGGCACCCAAAATAATTTCCATTCTGCATTCCAACGCTTATAAACGAATTCTGCTACAGCTCTGAGCAAAGCACATTCAGATTTAGAGTGTTACAAACAAACAAACGATCAACAACAGGCCTGAGGATCCAATTCAGCCTGTTTTGCCAATGGATGCTTGCTCTCCTCAGCCAGACTGCTGCACAGTTATAAAAAAATAAACCCCAGCTTGCTGAAAAATGCGCAGAGCAGGATCTGTGCGTGGCCTTTTCTTTCTGGTTGTGGGCAGCCAGACACCAGAAGCCTCTGGCAGCAGAGCCAGGGACCTTTGCTCACTGAGCCACGAGCAGAGTGCAGGTGCCCAGTCTCCTTACGGCAGGGACAATGCCCATCTCTTTGCTAGATATTGAGAATGCTTTTCGAGATGGATGTAAGTGTAACAAACAGCCTTCCCTGCAGTTATCAGCCTCACAAGTGGCTTTCGTGATAGCTGGAGGGTGCAGGCAACCCATAACGCTCAGGCTGTTTCCGAGAAGGACATCTCGTCTGCCTGACCACTCCCCAGAGCTCAGTCCCCATGGGGTGAAGGCCAACACTGAAGGCAGTATTGACCTCCTGGGATTGCCTAGGGCATCTTCTCTGCAAGCCAGTGATCTCCACTCTCCTGTCCACCAACACACGACACAGAAAAGCAGGCAGAGCTCATGCTGTTGTGACCACCTACTGCTCAGGACCGGCCAGGCATCCTGAATACACCGTGTTGCATTAACACCGGCAATGCCTCAGCAGCTCTGGAGGTGCAAGAAACACAGCCCTGCACATCACACGTGAAGAAAGAGCCAGTTTTAAACAGCAGGCCCTGCACGTCTAGGGCTGGCCATCAGTCTATCACTGCTGGCACGCAGGTGGCCCAGGAGCTGGCCGGGAGCTCCCTGCAGGGCACGGCTTCCCCAGCAGCCCGGCCGTTGGCATCATTTACCTGGTTGTGGTCAGGGTCCTGCCGCATCTGGGCTAATCGCTCCACATCTTGCTTGAACTGCACCTTCTCCCTTTCCAGCTGCTTCTGCGCCGTGCGAAGCCTCTCCAGGTCGAGCTGGTAGGCGGCCTTCTTCACCTGCAGCTCCTCTCGCTCCCGCTCAAGATCCTGCCACCCTCTCTGGACCTGCTCCTCTCGCTGGGCCAGGTGGGCCTCCTGCTCTGCTAGCTCCTTCTCCCGGACTTCCCACTCCTTCTCTTTCCTCCGTCTCTCCTCCTGATGCTGTGTCTGCTGCTTCTTCAGGTTGGCCAACTCCTGGCGCTGCTTCTCCAGGTTGCGCTGCTTCTCCTGCTCCAGCAGGGAGGTCGGCCGGAAGAAGCTTCGGGTCAGAGCCCTCTCGCTCAGAGCCAGCTTCTGGTCCTCAATGTAGGTGTCCTGCTGCAGCACGACGCCCTAGGAGAGAGGGGACACAAATCACTGCAGCGCCTTCTCCACGGAGAGAACCTGAAAACCTCAGCGTGCTGTGTTGAATCTCCTCTTCTCTCACCAAACTCACAGCTCAGCACTGCTGCCTTACGGCTGGGCTACCAGAGGATGCTGGCAGATCATCTCCCCCAGCAGCTTCCCAAACTCAGGCGAGCACAGGCTCACTCAGGCAGCAGCTCACTCCTACGCCCCGCCGGCACGCTACCTGCCAGCCAGCCGCGGGGTCTTCAGCCACGCAGGGATGGGACAGGCAAAGGGGAAGGGGAGACAGGGGCCGAAGGAATCGCGAGGGGCTGGTGCTGGCTAGCGGGAGGCGCAGTTTGGGCAAGCAGCATGCAAAAGCAGGATGAAGGGCCAAGCCTACCTGCAAAGCACTGAGCAATTTATGGAGGCTGGTAATGGTTTGGAGGACCTGCTGCGAGAAAAGAAAAGCATGGCTATTAGATCTCACTGGGTGCCAGGGTACACGTAAAGCAACCCCCTTTTCCACTGTGACCCACCAGTGGGTCTGACAAGCTGTACGGCCACTGCTCTACACCTTCGTTTCTCTCACTCTTCACTTGCAATGACTGTGTCACCCTGCAGTACCCAAACAGATCCCCTGGACATCTCTCAGAGGTGCCTGGCACCACCTTCCTCACTTTCCCAGCCGTCAGTGCAGCAGGGGAGGAAATGTCTGCAGAAGCGCCAAATGGCACAGTCCTCATGGGAACTCCCAGCTTGTCTCTGCAAACCACGTCTCACTGTATCGGCTTTCTCAAGAACAAGCAGAGGAACTGGGATGAAACCCGGCAGTTCACTTAAAAATTTCAAGGAAGGAACTTCAAGGGTGAAAAAAGAAGAGATCTTAGAATGAATGTGGACTATTTGTACTCTTCCACCCCCAGCAGACCCATACAAGTCCCACTGTCATTAGACAGAAGAACTGCAAGGCGCAGTACAAGTACAGCAGGTGTTTTCACGGAGGGTCTTTGAAAATACAAGTAAATCCGAACACATGGCACATCAATACAGAGCACGCTACTTTGGAGCGATGCCCTATCCATAAATACATTTTTAGCCTAGCTAAAAATTTCTCTGAATCTCTTATATCCTACAGTTACTTTTAAGAAGGAGAAAAACCACTGCGGAATTTGCAGTAGCAGTGTGATAGCCAGTATTAAGAGAACTGCTTCTCATTCTGCCATTAATGCTAATTGGGAGTTATGAATGTGTATCAAAGGGAGAATAGAAATCTAATTGCCCCAATTCACTGCACCTGCAACGTAAAATTAAACTCCCTCTGTCTGCAGATGCACAATAAATACAGCCCTGCGCATCCTAGTGGTAATTAACCCTTGCTGCCTACAATCAGCACGCATCATCCTGCTGGCAAGCAGATGACAATCAGCCAATTCCCCGTCTGAACATCCAAGGTTAAACAAATAAATGACACAGTGGGTTCAGCTTAATGTATTTAAAAGTCTACATGCGCTTCAGCAAATGAAATGTATTTTCTTCTACATTATCACCTACTGAGGCAAATTCACTTGCCACTTAAATGAAGGAAACAGCTGAACAACGGAATCAATTCTTACCTCGTTATTCCTTTTCAACATGAACATCAGATTAGCATTTCCACCCTATGAAACGATCACAGATTTAATAGGAGGACAAATGAGAAATCACAGCAAATGTCTTCTGAAGCTGAACTAATGACAGACCCATTAAATCCCCCCTTCCATCTTCCATTTGGGGAGAATTCATGCGTGTTTTCTAGGCAAGTTAAAATCATATAAAATAAAATGTTAATTAGTTATCATTTTGTAGTTATATGATGGATCGATCCCCAGCAAGAATAGGTGCAAGGTTATAGCTGACCTTATCATTTCAATAACGATGCATAATTAAACACATGCTTTAGCTGATCTGCAGACAGATGGCAGATAACCTGTGCCACAAAGGAATACAACTGATTTGCAATGGTTTTCAAGTCAGGATTTTAGCTACAGCAAAGTGTTTTTTGGCTGCCTATCTCCAATTTTATTTTATTTTTAACTTATTAGGATACATCTAATTGTTAAGAAATGCAGGCATTTTTCAAGCCTAAAATCATCACTCTTGAAATCTGAGCTCAGTGGCAGCAGACGGATAACGCAGCAATACCTTCTTTAAAATGCTGTCCGACTCCGTTCTCCGAAGGTCCTGAGCATCGTCGCCTTCATCTTTCGCTCCACCTAAAGGAAGAAGCCAGCATTGACACTGGTTAGTCAACATTTCAAGCCGTAAATGAACTTGCCAATGTCTGAGAAATTTAATACAGGAAATTCAGATGTTTCACAAAAGGGGACATAGAGCTCTTGACACTTTAACTACAGGCGTTTGCTCCCTACATATACAGAACATGTCAGCACCACCAGAAAAGCGGATGTGAATTCAGATTAGGACTGTCTTTGGTTTCAGACCACGTGCTGATAAATTTGGCACATTCCCACTACTTGGTGCTCTGTCTAGCCCCCGTGCTGCTGTCTACTACCAGAGAACACCTGCTGAGAAGACGTGAGGCAGAGTAAGAAAACAGACAGAGAACAAAACCAGTATCATATCAGGGTGTATTATTGCAGGTACAGTTTCAATGCCTCTCTTGTGCAAGTGCAATTTACAGCTGGGTGAGATACTGCCACGCAATACCCTGTGTAATTTTAGGCTAACAATTTATCCTTAACCTTAGTCATCAGAAACCTGTATCTTCAAAGGGACACTGGACTTCTCTTTCTAACTTCCCCCTGGATGGCTCATATCAGTGCTCCCAAGCAGGACTGAAGAGACCTGTGGGGCCAAGAGGGCTGCAACCCTCCCCCTGCACTGCCCTTCTGCTTGTGGGCAGCGAGGATGTTGCGCAGCTCTTCGGTCCTCTAGCACTTGCCAAGACTCTTGCTCTCCCCTTGCCAGCTGAGATGCAGCCTATGGGGTAAGCCCACACCTGCAGTGTAACCTCCCTGCTCCACTCTTTTAGTGACAAACAACCTTACATACACCTGTACCTGCAGCAACACGAAGGACACCGTACTAGTGCAAAGGCCCTCTCCTCCCACCACCCCCCAAGCAGGCTTTGCTATTAAAGGCTGACCCTCAAGTCCTCCTAACAGACCTTCTCTCCTCCGCCACGTCCTGGGACCTTCCACCTCTTTGCAGGAGGAAACACCTCCCTTCTGCTTTGCTGGAGGGGAGAACGAAGGGGAGTCAGGTTATAAGCCTTGCCCAAGGTTGCACAGGTTGTGAACAGAAGAACAGGAGATGAAAGCTGGGTTTTCAGGCCTCCCGGCCTCCAGCTGAACAAACAGGCCTTGCATTCTTTTCCCAAACTCTCCCAAGACCCTACATTTATTGAATTACAATCTAATTCAAAAGACATTTCCACAGAAAACCCAGAGCTGGGCAACGAACAGCCTGGGGTTGTCCTATTCATCACCGCAACAGAGAAAGGCACAACCCTAAAAAATCCCTCCAGTGTGAATATATTCGTCATTACGATGACAAGACCTGTGGAGGGCTTTGCAGCTTTTCAATAGAGCTGGGAAAACCTCTACACACTTCTCATGTCTGACTGTCTGGAGCTAACACTGCTCCTTTAATGCAGAAGGTCAGACGAGGTCCAATGATCCCAATGCTGAGACAGACACTAGCGCAGCAAAACTGGCTGTACTGGGAGCATGACTGAGACCACAGAGAAAGGAATTTGAGGACAGGGAAGTTTCTGATGACTAGGGCAAAGAAAGAGAGCACTGGGAAGCAGCCAACTATGCAGCTGAAATAAATATTCACACATTTCTTCAGGAGAGATTTAATTGCAGGAATAACACACGTGGAACACAAACGCATAGACAGCAGAGCCAGGGGAGCACTATCCTTATCCATTTGCAAATGCAACAGCACCAGGCTCCTGCTGGAAGACAACTGAAGAATGAAGAACAGAGCTGCAGATACTACAACAATAACATGAAGAAACTAACCTATTAATAAGCCAAAAGCTTTCATGTGGCATGTAAGTAAAGGAGGAAAGATGATTTAGAGAGAACACAGAGAGAAGAGTGAGGAGTTCAGATGTTTAAGCTTCATCTAGCCACAAGTTCTCAGCTACCATCAATCCACTTGTACATAGGCTTTTTTTCCCTAATCTGCTATTTAATCTATCAACTATTATTGGCGAGGAGCTGGGAAACCCAAATCACCAGCTGCTGGAGTCCTTCTGAAGCAAGAGGATACGATGACACGTATTATTAACAAATGCTGATGTGCACACATGTAACTACTCACACTTGGAGGCGTTCATCTGATGACTGTCAAATCCTCCAAAAGTTTCTGCCCTTCGAGGGAGGGAGATGGGGCCAACTCCTCCTTCTTGTTCCATGGCAGTGCTGCTGACCTGCTGTCCGAGGGCAGTGCCCAGGCTCCTGTTCACCAGGTCTTGCAGGAGTTCAACTGATAAAAAGCAGTGATATCTCTGTTAAAGACCACCTCAGGCTTCTGAGCTATTTTCATCCCTGCCTGAGCTCAGATCAGTACGCTTTGCTGTATTACGAAACCATGTTCCTATGACAATGATATGAACAGTATGCATACCCCCTGCAAAAACTCAGTCTGTCTGACCATAAACTCCAATTCCTGGAGCTCCCCACGGGCTTACACCTCCCTCTCTTCCTCCAGACAACCCTGGTGTGCTCTGACAACAGCATTTAATAATTTTTAGCCTCTCCAAAAATCACACAAGAAAGTTGCCTGAGTTTCCATCTCCCTTGTCTTGGTCAACAGACTTGCTTGTCCCTCACAGACACCACAAGAGCCTGCTGGAGCTTGAGCCCCGCTCTCACAACTTGCTGAGACTGAAGCACAGCAAAAGGTCCAAATGGTCCAAAATTCATCCAAAATTCAAAAAACCAGTCAAAATTAAAAAAAAAATGGTCCAAATTTCAGCCAAGGATAAATGCTGCGCTGCTCCTGACCCCAGTGCAGATCCAATGCATTGTTGTTCTCTGTGCTGACTTCTTTTCTGCCCTCCTTCAACAGCCATCCATACCTGCTTCCTTTCCTGACACTCATTACCTGTCCCTGAGCCAATACTGTGAGTAGCTGTATCTCCTTATCTATGCTGACGTTCTCACAAAGAGAAGACTTCCCCTGCAAAACTGGTGCTTGAGGACTGATGGCTTCACTGAAGCTGGGTCAATTGGTTAGTGTAATTAATGTCACCCTGACTTGCTCACCTTCATTTATTGCAGTTTTCATAATGGCCTCTCCTTTTGGTGCCTCTTCTGTGTTGGCTCTGAAGAGCAGCCTGGAGCCTGGCATGTCCTCCTGCACAGAAGTGTCTGCCATGTCCCGGAAGATCTTAGTCTTCTCCTCCAGCAAGAGGAGGATCTGCTTATCCTTCTGCTGAAGTTGTTCTGTGGGGGTGAACAGAAAACAGAGATGAAGATGGAAAAGCAAAGCTTCGGCAAGGAAGCCGAGGATTCCCGAGACATTGGCCCCATCTAGTGGAACCTGATGATACAACCATGCCCTGCGCAATCCTGCACAGCAACAGCACCCAGCAAGCTCAGGAAAAAAATAATGCAAGCAAGGTGAGATGCAAACACGGATTACAACTGTTTGCTGGATGCAGGAGTCTCAACTCTTTCAACAAAAGTCATAGTTCAACCACAAAATCTAACACAATTCCTGCAAATTTTTCAACAACCGCTCCCCAGCTCTGTCCCAGGCAGGATTTTACCTTTCAGTCCTCTCACTTTTGCATCTGACACTTTCTTTTCAAACTCAGACTCACAAGGGACTCCTTCGTCTTCATCTTTATTCCTGGACAAGAGACACGTCTCAATTACTACCAGAATATGGCCATGTGCATCACCTGCCCTGCAAGAACAGCTTGGTAGCTTACATGGTGTTCATTGTGTCTTGAATGATCTGTATCCAGCCGTTACGCTCTTCTTTGGAGCTGGCATGGACTTCCACCATTTCAGGATCTTTTACACCCATACTGATCAAGAACAAACCCTTCTCTTCATGAGCCACTTCTCGTACGATCAACTTCTTCAGAGAGATCACAGTGGATTTCTGGTCCTTCAGACGGAAAGAAACAGGTGAGAAGGGTGAACAGTACTAGTTCCCAGATACAAACTAGCATTGAAGAGGTCCCAATAACCATATGGCCACCTCTCTCAGGCTGTAAACATTTTCTGAACCTACTGGCTAATTAAAAAAACCTAATCATTTTAATGGGGTCAAAGAACAGGGAAGGACTTGCTTTCCTCCATCAGTTCTGTGGAAAAAACCAATTTCACCTTATGCCACTTCAACCAAGAATTAATTTAAAATGGACTTTGCGGTTTTGCAAACTCTACCATATTTTGCTCTAACTCCAGAAGACCTTTGATCTCATCTCCTCCTGCCCACACTCTGTCACTGACATCACAGCTCCTTAAGCTTAGTGCAGCTTGCTAGCGTGCGCTTCACCCACATTATCTTCATGATCTCACCCTAGGATGGAGTAACATTCTGCTTTCAAATCCCACAAAACCCCTGCTGTTAGCTGGATGGAGAAGCCTTGTGTGTCAGATGACGTTCATTGTGTGCTATAGTCTCCGTGTAACCAGCCTGCTCGGTTAAAACGTCCCAAAACGTCCCGTTGCTGTTGTGTCATCTGCATGTGAGTCAGCCCCTTTGTGCATTTCACAGGCTGCTACAACTGGGGTGATTTGGTAAGGGGTTCACCAGCAGGACTTGCAAATCAGCTCCCCCTGCGTAGGGCACTGAGTCTGTGCAGATGCTTGGTGGAACTGGAATAACAGATTATCAGCTTTCAACATGTTCAAAGAGTGGAAAGGTCACAAGGTTTAGCCAGTCTAGACCATGCCTGCAAGGTACAGCCCTCCCTGACTCAATTAGGTACTAGGTTTTCTTTAGCAGGTCAGCGTGCCTAGCCCTTTTATGAGGCCTGTCTTCAAAAGCTAACGTTTTTGGTCTTGTGCATTACAAATATATTCCTCTGACATGTTTTCAAGCTGCTCTGTTGAATTTACTGCAGTGGCATTTCACCTCCCCCCCCACCCCCACAGAGGCTCACAATGTATTAGGGCATTTCCTTCTGCTGAGATTCATTTTTACAATGTTTGCATTATCCCATTGCCCCCTCCCACCCCAATCGCTGCTTCAATTTGCACAAACTCAAAAGCAGTAAGTGCATCAAGTGACAGGCAGGTTTCCAAGGCCAATCATCAGCTGCACCAAGGCACTGCAGAAAGGGGAGGTGGGGCACGAGGACGTGTTTTCCCATCAAAAAGAACGGAGTCTGCTCAGCAAACGAAAATGTTATAAGCAAGAAAATTAAGTTGTTTAGCAGGCAAGGGCTGGCTTCACTGCACAACACACATCACGGGTCTCTCACACAGAAAAGGAATGAGAAGAAAAGGCTGAAGCCTTACCAGTGAGGCAAAGACATACTTCTGGTCCTTCTCCTGAAGGAATATGAGCATATCAGAGAGGAGAACAGCCTGGACTTCTGCAAAAGAAAAAGCATACCAGTGCAGTATAACCCTGCAACCCACCCTGAAACAGATTTGTTTTAGTCACACCAGTGCTGGGGAGCGGTAGGGCTGGTTTTGCAAATCCTAGAAGCAGGGTCAGCCTCCCAGGTAGCAGGAGGAGCAGGGGCAGCTCCTGGAGATGCTGGGTCAGGTTAGCTCTGAACTGACTTTGTGTTAAGGAGAACATAAGAGCACGTGGGAAACCTGCAGGATTTTCTCTCATCTGTCGGAGCAGAGGTGCTCCTCTCCAGCCACATGCTTGCTAACAGTTAGGACGTGGGCATAGCAGTGAGAGCTCCAAACAGTTGCTGAACACAAGCGCTGTCTTCTCAAACAATATTTTATCCCTCAAGCGAAATAATCAGCCCAGGAAGTTTTGGGTTTTATGGTTCTCTGGGTGAGTGGTTTGCAGAGTGTAAAGTATCGTGCAGTAACATTTGTCAGCTGCAGTTTCTTTCCCAGGAAATACTGACTTCAGGAGCCACCGCTGATTCTGCTCACAAACACAACTCTTGCTGACTCCAAGGGTGCTGACAGAGCCTGTGTGAGATGTAGGACCTGGCTTGCTTTCATGGGAGAAGGAAACACAACATCAAGCTAATGGAGGATTTTAAATCAGAAATACAGAAGAAACTCTCTTCCCAGAGTACACGTACAGCCTTCCAAGCCTCCTAATGACATATCATAAAGTTGCACAGCAACTACCGAGTATAATGCCCCACCCAGAGCCCTCAGTACAAAAGAGTTTTTGTGTAATGTACTTGGGAATCTTGTGACAGAGAGGAAACAAACCAGAAAGTTAAATCATCCTGTGGGTAATTCCTTCCATTCTGTTTTGGGAAGACAGGATCCGTTCCAGATAAAAGAACCACCAAACTTCAATCAAAGCTCCAAAATGAACTCCAAGCTCTGGAAGGTTTGCAAAAGTCGGCATTTGACTCCCTTCTTCTCTATTGTCTGTGCACTTTGCGAGAGGGGAAATGCTAAAGCCCTCTAAGAAAAGTTCTTCCTATACTTCTCTGTGCTCCATTTGAAATCCCGCAAAATAGCCTGAAGGTATGGACTAGCTACTCTCTCCCTGGGCTCTGCAGCTTGGCTGCAGGACCTGCTTTCGCTGGGAGTTTGCACTACAGACAGAGGTATGTTTATGCATTTCTATGACTTAGAAATGCAAATGCAGCCTGTACTTATCACAAGATTTCACAACAGCAGCCTAACTTGCTTCATCCACCATCTAATGTTAATAGTAACCCCGGGTGCCTAGAAACCATCTGTAAACTTCCTGTTTTCAAAACCTCAAAATAAATCATACTCAATATGGAATTTCGTGTTATCACTGCCTCCCTGCACAGCACGGCACGAGGCTACCAGTCCCCATTCATGCCCAAGTACCATAGTTTCATCAGCTGATGCTGGAACGAGAGAGGGAAAGTCCAGCCTTCCTGCCAAGCCTGAGAAACAGCCCTGTCTGCTCTTACTGCTACTGTGGTCCCATGCTGAAGGCTTCCTTGGGAGATTTACTGTTTAATTCAGTAGAGAACTTCAGTGCTCAGCAGAGCACAGCACTTCAGAAAAACTATTTCCACTTGATAACAAACAAAAAGCAATTCAAGAAAACATCGCCCAAACAAGAGGCAGCAGCAGGGAGACCAGAGCCTCTCCTGAACAGTTCGCGTCAGCAGCTCAAGAGCAACAAATACCTGGGACACCTCTCTGGAGTCCCAGTGAGACTGGGATGGTAACGCTGAGCCTGGGCAGCCCTACTGCAGCCCTTAGAGCAAAGGAAAGGCTGTGCTGCTGGTGAGCAGAGCCGCTGGGAAGCTGAGGCTGGGTTTCGGATGCAGCAAGCACGTTTCCTGGAACCGCTGCACATGTGCGTCGTGGCACGGAGATCTGACTCGCTGCTCTGGGCAACTGCAGCCCCATCACGTTCTCCCGGCCCCAAGGATTCCCCAGCAACTCCGCTCCTTGGCTGACACACCGCGGTATCGCTGCAACCCAAGCCTTCAGCAGGCACGCAGTCAGCAGGAGGAAAAGCAGCTGTCACCCCAGAAACAACGTGAGGAATCGGAAATGCTGCGTTGGGAAGCGACTGTACAGCTTGGGGAAAGCCGCTGTCAAGTCCTCTCAAAGCAGAAGGATAAATAAAGGCTGGAGACACCAATCTGAGGACTAATCCTACACCTAGAGAGGGGGAGCTGTATCCTCCCCTGGCAGAAGGCAGGATACTCTTACCTTTTAACCGGCCAGCTGCATTTTTTAGTGAAACAGGCCCATCTCGGATGAGCTTCCGATGCCTCAAGTCCTCTCTCGCAAACATCTGGCCGCTCTTCATCCTCATGATGGACTTGCTATCCGTCCGGTTGTAAATCTCACCGAGACGCATCTTCTTTTCATAATTGCTGACTTTGCTATTGACTGCAGCAATCACATCTTTAACGAGGTTTAATGACTGAGTCAAGTCTTCATGTTCCACTTCATTTTCTTTGAAAAGGAAGAGAAACATTTTGATTTCACTTCATCCTTGTGGACTCTAACCTCCTGATTTTACTTCCTTCCTTCATTCCTCTTCTCCCTCCCAAATTCCTGCATTATAACTTCTCAATACTTTCATGAGACAATCTGCATTTTTCCCCCTTAAGAAGAGTTTCACAAAACCTTTCACGTACATGATTGAGGTTGGGGACTATTCCAATATACTTTGTATATGAGACAGTATAGATGAAATGCACAAATTAACCAGATATTTCAGCCATTACCAGAAAAAGCAAGCTGGGAGACTTCGGAGTCTAAGCATGTTACTCCACAATTATTAGCTACAGACAGACTTATAACAACTAAATCAAGGCACCTGAATAACTAATCCTAAGTGGGGATATGCAACTGAGTTACCTCGTTACAGTGGTGTGAGACAATGAGAACTGGACTAGTTGGTCTATTCTAAGAAAATCTGCTTCAGCTGAAAAGGATCCAAGAAATTTACACTGGGGGAACAAATCCACGCTTAGAACAGAGGAACCAGTCCCTACCTTTGGTGTACTGCAGTATCCTTTGTAAAAGGACCGGGTACTTTGTGATTCTCTGTGTTACCAACAAGATACATTCAGAAATCCCAAGACGCCTCACCAGGGAGCTGCTCATTTTTTTCTAAGAAACAAAGATGAAAATTTCAGTTCTGTAGCAAAACACTCACCCGAGTGCAGAAAGGAAGTATTTTTCCACTGACTCTGTCTGTTCTACCAGGTCCTACCTTGACAAATGCCTGAAACCGCTTGTCCTTTGAGTACAGATCTTTGAAGTTATTTACTGCCTCATTGTGATGCCCGCAGAATTTGCCATATGTTTTCTTCATCCGCTCGGCACTCTCACCGGAAAACTGCAAGACATGAGACACAGAGGTGCAGTTTGCACTGAGCTCCTGGTGTGACACCCCAGCAGTGCCTGCTCGTGTCTCAAAAGAACTTGATGAAACTACATTAGTCCAAAGCGTCCTAAACCAAGCAAGTAGATCTCTAGAAATTAAAGAGCTGAGTTTAGGACTTCACTGAGTTCACACTTACTGCAAAATCTGTTATTAACTCACAGGCCTTAAAAGCCAACAACAAAATAGTCAGGACACACAAAAAGAAGAAGGGAGAAAGAGCAGATAAAGAAAAGCAAAATGACCCACCCAAAGTTAAATAGTGGGTCAGTAACTCAGCCAAGAAACACACTGAGCATATTTTGCTGTGGGCTACTGCCTGCCCTCCAGGCTATGGTCAAACAGTCCATGCCTGTCAGGGAATGCTTCTCTCTCCCACAACATAAACTGATTTTCATCATTAGACCTTCCTCTGAAAGAGCAAAAAGCACTTCAAAAAGCAGAGGTGGAGATTTTTACATGTGTGAAGAGTAAAGGTGCCATTAGCTGTGATGATCTAACAGGTATAAACAGGTGGGAAGGAAGAGCGCCTGGTTTCCAGCTGTGCTCTCAGAAGCACAAGCATTTTCCAGCGCTTACTTGATTCACTAGGATGTCACCTATCCTCTTGATAACAAAGTTCTTTTCACTTTTGTCTGCCAATGACTCCTTCTTCCTTTCCAGAATCCGCTGGAAGAAGTGACTGTGGATGTGCAGCAAGTTTTCCAGGCAGGGAAAGATCTTGTCCACAACTTGTTGATCATACTGCAGTTCCTTTAACATCCCCGCGCTGTATACATCGTTCATGATCTTCAGGGTGCGGACATGATGCATTTCAGTCTGCATTAGCTCTGTACAGGATGAGGACAAGGTCAAAACCAAGGTCACTGTAGAGCACGTGGGTGTACAGTAAAAGGAAGAGCTGCCATTAGAAAGCTTTTCCATAACTGGGCTTCTCTAAGTGGTTTTAGAAAACTGAAACATCAAAAAGCAGTTTCACGTGTGGGAGAAATAGGGGGGGCAAAGGAGTCCCACAGTAAAGAGCTTTGGACATTGCTGCTGAGGTCTGAACCTTCAGCACTGTTATCTGCTCCTTCCTAACACCTCACTGCCAGCCTCACCACGGTGTGCTTTTGCCATCAAAACAGCTCTTGCATGCGGCACGAGGAGACTTCCAGCTAGCTGCTCTGCTGCAACGGACCTTAAATGTCATCAGCAGACAAATGATGAGAGGCAATTTCTGGGGTTTTTTGATGGCTTCCGGATACATGAAATTCAGAAAGAAGGCTTTCATAGAACACATTACGTTTCTAAGAATCTGAAGAATAAAACTTTGCTTCTGAGGAAACCAAGTCAATGTTCCAATTCGCTGACCTAAAGCTTCCCAAATCCATGCATGCAAGTATATCAACAAGCTAGCTACAATGAGCGAAAAATTAAGATGCAGGTATCTCACCATAAATGACATCTTGCCGTTTGACAACATCTTTGTTTTGCTGCTGTAGGAACTTGCTGTCCACAACTTGGCTCCAGGACTCTGCCTCCAGCTGCTTGGAATCTAATTCCAGGTCTCCCATCAGCTGTCCTTCATTCATATCCGCACCTCCACAAAGCAATGTAAGTGCCATTAGGATGTGGGTAATTTGTCTCACTTGAGATTCCTGTCTATTCACTTAGGTTTAGGCTTTCTCTGTCATACCACAGACATCACACACATTCTCCTTTACTGACACAAAAATGACCATATGGAATTACACCACGTAAGGACCACGTTATGAAAAGTGCTTCTAAAGGTTATTTGCTACTTGCACAGAACTAGTTCACCCTTTTCACACAGACCAACCTCTAGCTCAGACGAAAGACGACGGATTCTTTATCTGCAATGCAACAACATCGCAGACAAATAAAAACACACAACACCCAGTTTGTCTTCCTTCATTTACACCACTGCATCAAGGGAACTTAGAGCTATGTGAAGTCTATGTTTTCAAGCTTAGAAAGCCAGAACTGATACAGGTAGAAGTGAACACTACATACATTACATACACACATATATATCTCTTTAAGAAAGATTGCTCATTTGTGCAGGAACTGGGAGATTTTCTCTTGACACCATAAGCATGCCCTTGTTTAGTTCTTAATAAATGAAGGCCATTCTGTTCTTTTCAGGTAAATACTGGCTAAGGTGTAAAAATACTGATCATATCCTAAAAAAGCACCATATAAAAAAGTATTTAAGCTTAATTTATTTAACTGACTTCACTTTCAAACCCACAAAACTAAAGAATACGTTTCTTCCTTCCTCACTCTAGGAAAAATACAAAATGCAAGACGTCAGCATGAAAAAGGGGACAGAGTGCAAAATCTGTGGCTGTATGAATGGGCCAGAGAAGCAGAATGAAAGAGGAAATGTTCGTCCCTGAGCTAAATGCCAAGTAACTCGGCTGTAACTGAAATCTTCTAAATGTTTTCCCACAATTCAACAAGCTAAAGAAATTACTATGTGGGGCTTTGTTTTACTTTATCACATTAATATTCTAAGATTAAAGTAGATGCACTTTAATTCTCCATTAGAAAGGAAAACACTTGCTGAAATGCCAAAATGGATTTTCTATTTCTGGAAAGCAGCACTGAAACCTTCCTTTTGCTATAAATGCCATGGGGATCTCTTACCTTCATCAACCAGTGACTCCATGGATTCATTCACCCGGCTGATTTTATGTAAGGAGTCTGTTGACTGTGACAGGAATTTCCAAGTGTGTATTAAGCTGTCATCGTTCCCAACTCTGCAGAAAAACAAAACAAGAATATCGCTTATGACATAAAAAACCAGGCAAATATACTTTCAAATACACAGAAGAAATGCATTTTCAATATGAATTGAAAACCAAAGCACGCCTTGCACTGCTACGTACAGAAATGTACTTTTATTAATTGTTTTCTAACAACTACCCGTTGGGGCTCAACAAGCTGCAAGATCTACAGTTCTGAGTGACGGTGCTGCTTCTATACAGAATCACACCTGAGGTTTTATGGTTTGGATAACTCCTTTTCATCACTTTCCATTTTACAGTCACTTCCCATCCTCGTTGTCCTTGGTGCAAGCAGTGCAAAAATGCAACACAAAAGTCTATCCCAGAGTCCTTATTGCTAGCTCTGAGAAAGATCAGAAAAATGGACTGAAACAAATTTCACCACAAACAGCCAGGGCATAGAGGTGGTCCAGAGCATGCCAGCCCATGCTATTGCCCTGTGAAGAACTGCTCAATATGCAGGTAGTGTAGGAATCATCAGATTTCCTTGTAAGATTTTTTGTAATTAATTATGTACAATGCAGTCCTAAAACACCTGCAAATGTGTGCTTGCACAGCACCCAGCCCAAGGCAAGGGAATTTCCTCCTGGAATCCAGAGCATCTCTATGAAGTGGCCTTGAATATAACCAGGCCAACTCAGATGCCTCTGAACTCATGCCACGACTAAACTAACTCAGACAATCTGATTGAGCAGAAGACAACTGATGGTATCATATATAATATGGGTATTTCTGGTTTCATGATCCTCTTTTGTACCTTTAACACAAATCATAATACATGAATTCACTTTTAATGAGATCTGAATTTCTCTGTGCTCGCAGTGTCAGATAATACACACATACTCACGCGCGCAGGGAGGAACCTTACCCTGCGATGTTCTGTATGGAGACACTTTTCGAAAGTGCTGTAGTCTGCTGTGATCTCCTGTTATTGAATATTGAGGTTACGGTGTTTTCATCAGGAGCAAGTATGGCAGAGCGAGGGCGCTCCTTCGGTTGTGAGCCTGGAAGGGAATTGTCAGCGAAAAGTCAGCTCGCGCAACTGCAACGATGACGGCTTAAGGAAACCAGCCTCTAAAATGCACTTCCTTTTCTTCCTGGAGTCATCACTAGATCTCAGCTGTTAGAAACGGCCGTACGAAGGGAGGCACATCGACCCCTGGGCAGAACTGACTGCTTTGCACTATGCTTAAGAGATCTAGGTGGGATCTACATGTCCAGAAATATACACTTGGACCCATGGACATATGCTGCGTCTTCCAGATCTTGTGGACTTATTAGCCACAGGCCTTCAGCAAGCTACAGCAGTTAAGTAGTTATTCTGAATCTGAGATGACTTTACATTTGCTTAAAGCTACGTGGACGCTTCAGAAGGGGATGAACTCTGTGCAACTTCAGTACAACTTCTGAAATCCCAAACACTGCTTATCATGCACAGAAGATGCTCCCATCTCTGCTTTGATAAATGCTTATCTTTCTATAGCATCGAACATTAGTTGTCAGAACAGTTAAAAGCAGCAGATACAGACCATCAACAAAGGAAAGGAAAGGAAATTTTCTTACTTTTGTTTCTCATGGTTACTGTGGGTAACGAAGAGGTATCATGTGCCTGTAGCATCCCTCTCTGTGGCTGAAAGAAAAATGAAATTCACTGTAATTTCTTCCTCACTTCTCCCATCTCATATGTGCCACATAACTAGAATTAAAAAGCTATGTTTTTGCTGAATCCTCTCAGAACAGACCGGTTCTCGCCTGCAAGTGTATTTTATATATATACACACACATATATACATGCTGCACATACACATGGACACCCCCCGCCCCCCGCAGTTGCCATCAATGAATGGGCAAAATAACAGATGGAGAAATCTGCAGCAAATTGGAAAATGAGAAGAGAAAGTGCTGACAACACTGAAGAGAACTGAAAATCATAATTGTATAAACATTAACAAGCTTGGAGAACCATACTGCAGAGGAGGTTCCTCACATTTGGGGCGAGCACAAATTCTGCTCATTCCTCATACAAAAAGCATACTTATTTAACAGTTCTTATAGCTATATACACATGGTGCTGCATCACAGGATGTAGCGTTTGAGAACCAAGAGATATGGTATTTAAGGGTGCTGGACACCCCTGAATTGTGCTAGTGAAGTGGCACCACCACCACCTCGCCATACGGTCCCTACGTACTGCAGGGAACACTGCATGGAATTCACTGCCAACAAACACCCTGTGACCTGGAGCATTCACAGAGTCCCAGGGACAACTACTGTATTAGCATGTGGTTCTGGGGAATTTCAGGAGAGCCCAGAGAAATTATTCACTATAGTACAGGGGCTGAGGTTCTTTCCAACAAGCTGGAAAGTTTGGGACGTACTGCAGGTGTTATATATCTGCATGAAAAATTGTTTAAACCTTTTTGTTTATTCAGTAGACGAAATCTCTTACCTTCATTTTGACCTTTGCACAAGAAGCAAAGCTCTCCTTACAGCCTTTGTGAACAATTGCATTGCAGTCTGTCAAAAGTAAAAAAAAAACAAACAACCAATTAAACAAAAAACCACGGAAAAGAGGTCAGTTTTTGCTGTTTGTAAACTGAACTATTATCTTGCACAACTGAGAATTACAACTTTCAGGCATCATTGAGGTTTACATGAGTAGCTACAGATACTGAGAAACAGTCTACTTTCCCAATAATTAGCCCTTTGTTTGCTAACAAGATTTCCTCATGGAATTTAACAGGAAATTCTGTTTAAAAAACAATGCAAGGTTGAGTCGCCAGGGTCCTAATGGTTCATAAATTAAAAAAAAAAAGAAAAAAAGAAAAGAAAGCAAAAAGATGGAGTTATTCCTCTGAAAGACAAGGTGGAAAGCAAAAGCAAGACACAGAAACAGAAACCAATTGTAGGGCCAATATTTTCTCTGAAAACACAAATACTGTTCTTATCAAGACAAGGATTATGGGATCCAAAAGGCAGGAAAAGGACAGGAAAATTAATTTACATAAACTCAGACATATCACAGCCAGGATCTACAGTACAGGAACCAAGTGCTACTGTACTACAGAATTATCAGAAAAAGTAACAGGAGCATCTGTCAGGT